AAAAAAAAAAATTAAAAAATTAAAAAGCACCAGGGAGTGTTTGAGGAAGCAACAAGCGGTCGGGGGAGCACAGGGACGGACAAGAGATCAGGCTCTGGGGCTTTTAATTGGAATTTGCTTTCTGTTGCAGCTGCCCGACATGATGCTGGACCCAAAGAGTTCATTGTTGGCTGGAGAGCGGGAAGGGCCTCAGCGATGGATGTTGGGGCTGTTGGTAGGAAACGGACTTTGGGGAGAGTGAGGTGTTTGTGATGGGTGAGCATTATCTGCGAGCCCGTGTATCTCCAGAAATCCGTGCTCCATCCGTGCTCCAGGCAGAGACCTGCTGGGTAAAAGGCCAGAGGTGCACAGGGGACTGAGGGACAGGGGACAATGCCAAGTACCTGTCCAAAATAATTTCATTTTACCCCTGGAGACTTAAACAAACGGCTGTCACTCCTCAGCTGAGGTGTTTTAGCCGAGGAGGGTTCCTTTTCCTCCCGTCGCCCTCCTGCCTCCCCATGTCCATCCTTTCCGAGGACACTGAGCCAGGTGTTGGATTGGATGAACACAGTTTTGTTACAGTTTGTTTTACACAGCCACCCTTGTCTGGTTTAATAATCCTTGCACACAGATCCATTGGGGAGTTCTAGGCAGCCACATATCCCTGATGTAAAAACACTTGGACACACACTGATTGGGAAAGACTAGGAGATTGGAATGTTTTTAATCAAAAGCACATCAGTGTGGAATAGAAGCCCCCTTTAACCATTACAGTTTGTGGTGTGGATCTGAACAGCTCAGGACATACAGGTGAATGTTTGTAAGTGGATGCTGCTCCAGGACAGTGAATTAGGTGTCTCTTTTCCCACCCACCCCACAAGGGAGTAAGGGTGCGATGGCAGCCACAAAATCTCTTTTTGGAATTACACGTGGCTTGCAGCAGGCAATGTTCTCGCACACAGCCGTGGCTGAACAGGTGTCAACGCTCCCGTGGCTGAGGGCCGCGGCTCTGACTGCCCTCAGGAGCCGCCGCCATGTTGCTTCAGGGAAGGGGGACCAGTTAGGCCTCAGCGCTACGAAACAACCCGGGTTCGCCCTGAGGCTCCTCTGAGGCCACTGAAGAAGCGAGCTGGAGGACTTTTGACCAGCCCTGGGCAATGGTCGCCTCTCTCGGGGCAGCGGAACCCGCGCA